GGGGGGCCACGCACTCGTGGAATCTAGCGCGACGCGCGTGAGTTGGAGGGGCTGTTCTTCCGTGACATTTGGGAAAGAAACAATAGGAATAGGCGTGTTGGGAGTGGGAGAAACATAAGGAAGCGACGGATGAGCAGGCATTTGCATATTAGTAGCAAGCATGCGTGGCAACATGCCTCCGGATGACAGATTGAAGTACAGAAGGAGTAGGTTTTTGAGGATTGTCAACGTGACTATAGCACAACAGAAAGACACCCATATGGTATACGGAGAAAACCCAATCAGGGTGCTGAGAAAAGAAGCGTTGTTGGCGTAGGAGGAGTCCGATGGAGTATGAGGAGAGTAACCATTACCACTTGCCCCAAGGATTTTGTGAAAGTTGTGAATTGTCCAAAGTTCTTGTAATTGATGTTCTTGTACGAGTTCACTAATGTTAGTAAGCACCAAATTGTGAAAGATTGTAAGTGAAGGAAAGAAATCAATGTCTTGCGGAGTAGATGTGAAGGAGATGTTGCGAATAGACAAGTTAGAGATCTTAGAGAAGGTATTTGATATCGCATCATACTGGAGAACTCCATCAGGAAGAGGAAAATAGAATGGGCGGAGAGTATCACAAGGCACTGATTTCGCGTCAGAAGTGAGTACCCAGTTGTGAGGGTCGATGTATGTGAACCAGGAAGATCCGCTAGGTAAAGTTAGTTGGGTCTGAGGTTTATTGTAGCAAGTGGAGTTGAACGGTAAGATACGATAATTTGGGTTGGGAATTCGTATACAGTTATGAATTTGTACCAAACCGTTACCCAAGTAAGAAGCTGCCACATCGGGTCGATTGAGCAACTTGCGCACAGTATAAGTTGGGTCCGACTTAAGGGATGAATGGAGCGAAAAGGCAAGAGAGTTAGTACGATCACACAGCGAAGCCAAAGCGTGGTAAAACAGTGTAGTGACAGAAGTCTGAACTGTATCCTCTACCGCTAACAGTTGCGCTGCCAGTTGATTTGATGTTACGATCCCGACTTGCGGCTGTGTGTTACGCCTCAGCCGTTTGACCTTTGTAATTGCATAACCCTGGTCGGTGATAATCAGAGAGTTTTGGCAGTCTACTAAGGTTGGGCTCTCATCGCGCCATGATAAAGCAAACTCCTTCGAGTCACTTATCCAGACACTACCTAGAAGATGACCGCGCATTTTAGAAATAGGAACATAGGCGCAAAGCTCTTCCTGGGTTGGAGTCCACAGTAGGACTGATCCGTCCTTGAGTGTACAAGATCCATCTTTATAAGAGCAATGTCGAACGTCTCCTACCGCTGTATCGGGAAACTTGGAGCCGTGGCGCGCGTGAATGGTTGTTGGGGTTAGGTAGCAATTGATTACCTTTGTACGATGTTCTGTACAACAGCCGAAAGGTGCGGAAGGAAATTCGAAAATAAGCTTGTTGTCAGTTTTGAATGAGTCCCCGGACGGTAACATCGCGCCGAATTCACACTTATGATGTTGTTTCATTTGTCTACAATGCTCTACGGAGACGGTCTTATACGTCTCTATGTGTGTTTGACGACGCGCTCCAAAAAAATTGACAGAGTAAACTACGGACTGTTCAACTATTCGACACAAAACCGCTGGAGTATCGTAGCGCTTGGAGTTGGGTCGATAAACCTGCAGAGTAGTGGTAACAGGGGCGCTAGTTATGTTGGGAACCAGGTACGAGCAATTGTAGGACAACGGTATGCGGCTAAGGGGGTCGGATTGGTCGTGTGGGCATAGCCATACCGGCTGAGAAGTAGTGTAAAGAATGCAACAGGACATAATGATGGAAGCGAAAAACAAACAGTTTACATTAGGAAGAGAAGATGTTGTGGCAGAAGGATGATGATGACCAAAAGCTGTACGGGCTAGCTCTTCATTACGCTGCACAAGCGCCGAAATACGGGCGTTGGAATTTTCAAGAGCTGCCTGATTTTGTTTCAGAGACAAGGAAAGGGACTCAATCTGCTTACGTGCTTCTTCTAACTCGCTCTGAGGATGAGGTGAAATACTTAGCAAGTTAGCAGAAGATCTGCGGTCGAACGCGGGCGAGCGAGAACGAACTGCAGGTCTGGGGCTACGCGATCTTAGGAAATGTGATGTGAATCTACCAGCCTGCTGA